AGATGACAATCGATAAGATTTATCATAAATTATATGGGGATTGTCATCGATCGTCATTTCCAAGCCAACCCCATGCCGTTTTTTTCGATCGTACGGTATATTCTTTAACTGCATTACCTAGTTATAATTGTTATATTTCTATATTCATGCATTCATTTACGATGGATAATCCAAGTAATATTACTTGATTTATCCATCGTAAACTTTGCATAGATATAGAAAAATAATAACAATGGACAACTCTTAATGCTGTTAGTGAATATACCGCACGATCGAAAAAAAAAAGGCATGGGAGTGGGCTTGGAAATGAAGATCGCTGACATTTAATAGGTATGTAAATTATATGATAAATCTTATCGATCTTCATTTCATAGCCATCGCTGACATGCGTTTTTTACGATCATTACGGTGTATGGACTAAAAAGCCATCGTGATCACCATTTCTAAGGTAACTTAACGGCGTATTTTTATACAAAATGTCCGAAAATTCGATATTAAATGGGATCACAAAATTTTCATCCACTTTGTACATCAAATTAGATGATTTGACGCATACAAAGATAAACACATGTACAAATTGATTTCGAGTAATTCAAAAATTGACACTTATTACCAGACATTTTAATAATAATTTGGTTAAACACGACTGTTGTAATCAAAGTCTAGTCAAAGGCTTTTTTATAGATATATGTTAATCACAGATTAATTACCCAGCTTTTAAAATATCCATTAAAACAAAAAACAGTAACGACATATCTAAATATTCTATCCTTGTCGCATATGGTTCGTTCCTGTATTATTCTGTGATAAGGGAAGGAATAGAGATTTTCTGTGATAAGTGGTAAAGCTAGGTTTTCATATGTACAAATTTGGCAAACTTTCCAGGAAATTCGGTCATATTTTTATTATAAAATTATTTATCATAAACAAATTTATTGTAAAAAAAAAATTTGAACGTATATTCAAATTTTAAACGTTTCAATTAATAAATAACGTAAATCACTTTTAAATTAAATTTAAGAAAAAAAAATCAAAATTAATAAAACGTAAATCACTATAACAAATCATTATTTTAATTTCAAATTTATATTTCGAAGTTATATTACAAGTTATTTACTGTTGTCTTATACAGAGTATATCAAGACAAATGCGAAACTTTAAGGGGTGTATTCTTTGTTATTTGTCAACATTTTTAAAATAGCTGAAGAGGTTGAAATAAACTATTTCTAATATTCGTTAATTTGACAAAAAACTGGAGCAACGATAGGAAAAATAGGATAAGTTTCTATTTTCGGATCATATGGTATATCAAATTTTGTATTATTAGAAAAGCTGGACACAAAATGTTTTCTAGTGCTAAAGTTGAACTATTTTGTCAGCTACAGGTGACATTTTTTTTGTTTTAAATCAAGACATATAAAAGCCACCCTAGGTAAAAAGTTTCTAAACAATATAGATCTATTCAAATTAATTTATTTCCAATGACAATAATGTAGGAAAGTTTGTAATTAAAGTTAGTTAATAAGAATAACCTTAATAGTATATTTCAACATCATTCATGAATAAAAACATCAAAAATATGCATGTGTTTTCTAGTATAAATATGAATTGTTCCTAAAGGAGTTATTCAGGGTGATATAAAAGCAGGAGATACAGTATATAAAAATGTTCAGCGTAATTTTTTAAAGACCCTGTATAACTAACATCAGGTTTTTTTTTAACTGTAAAGTGCTAAATTGATCAAAATATAATTTGGGATTTTTTCCTAGAAAAATAAAACTTCATAACTTAATTTTCATAAAAATCTTAAGTCTAGTCTAAACCTTACAGAGCAAATTTGTATTACAGTTTTATTTATTAAAGATATGTTATTCTAACATATATTTTTAACTGTAATGTTCTAAATTGATCAAAAATATAAATGTTATTTTTTTTCCTAGGAAAAATAAACTCATAACTTAATTTTCATAAATAAATTTATTTCTATTAAATTTATAGAGCAATTTGTATTACAGTGCTTTATTTCACATATTTTGTAATATCTGCTTCGGTGCAGTGCCCCTTTGCTATTCTGTGAGTTCATTTAAATATGACGACATTACTGATCTAGAAGATAAAAATGTACCCCAAGTAACCTACCTTAATATTATAATCAAAAATGGCTAATTTTGTAAATTATTACCTATAATGGTTAGATGAGTTATGAATGTAAACTTCTTATGCTGGTTTCTTGAAGTTAGTGATATTAATTATCTTCGCATCAGTCATGGGCTTCCCTAATAAAACTGTAGAGTATTCGTCAATCAACCTAAAATTAATTAATATTATTTACTATTCCGTTACAAAAAACACATTTTTTTTTGTGTAATTTTGAGTTTAAATTTAAATGTGATTAGAATAAATATACATCATTTTTAAAATTTGCGCAGAAGGTAATATTATATATATTAAATTTGATTTCAATACGAAATGTTTAGTTTCCTTGGAATATTACTTAGTCGTAATAGAAACGAGTTCCTGAATGTACAATTTGTTTATCACGTTGTCAAGTCTTTAATAAATTGTTAGTTAAAACTAACAGTCCTACGAGGGAGTGTGGAATTTTGCTTTAGTTATATTTGTATCCTTATATAAGAGAGTGAAATAAGGATGAAAATTTGTACAAACATTTGTTAAAATCGGGTTTAGAAGTATGAAATTCTGTTTGTTCCTTATGTAACGTAATTTAGCAATAACAAGCAATTTTTTTTTCAGAACGTCCACACCTCATTTCACCCCGTTAGAGGGCGAATTTCCAAAAATTGTTCCTGAGTGCTAAATTACGTTACATAAGGAACGTCTGCGCAAAATTTCATACTTCCAAAACCGATTTTAATGAATTTTTGTACAAATTTTCATCCCTTAATTCTTATGGGGCGAATGCCTAAAATTCGCTTCTGAGTACTCACTTTCATCACTTGAGGAACCTCTGTGCAAATTTTCATACTTCTAGGACAGATTTTTTTCAGAAAGTTCACCCCTCATTTCACCCCCTTAGAGGGAAAATTTCGAAAAATTGCTTCTTAGTGCTAAATTACCTTATATAAGGAACGTCTGCGAACAATTTTATACTTCTAAAACCGATTTTAACAAATTTTTGTACATATTTTCATCCCTTATTTCTTAAGGGATGAATGCCCAAAATTCGCTTCTGAGTATAACTTTCATCACTTGATGAACCTCTGTGCAAATTTTCATACTTCTAGGACAGATTTTTTTTCAGAACGTTCACCCTTCATTTCACCCCCTTAGAGGGAAAATTTCCTAAAATTGCCTCTTAGTGCTAAATTAAGTTACATAAGGAACGTCTACGCAGAATTTCATACTTCTAAAACCGATTTTGACAAATTTTTATACCAATTTTCATCCCTTATTTCTTAGGGGATGAATGTCCAAAATTCGTTTCTGAGTACTCACTTTCGTCGCTTAATTAACAATTTCCAAATTTCAAACTCCTCGGACTAATTTTAAAAAAATATGCAAAATTTCACCCCCAGTTTCACCCCTTAGTAGAAGAATTTCCTAAAATCGCTTTGTATAATCGAACTGTTAAGTTACGCTACTTAAGGCACCTCTGTGCAAAATTTCGTAGTCCTAGGACATGCTTTTTTTGTATACAAAAGTACCCCCCATATCACCCCCTTAACGAGCGAATTTCCAAAAATTGCCCCTTAGTGTTCAATTACGTCCATAGATTTAGGAAGAACAGATATCACATTGTGCATTTTAACCCGATCAAACAATCGGAGATTGACTACGTACTGTAAAAACCAACTGAGATAGAGAAGGCGACATTGCCACATCTCAAATTTGCGCCTGTCTACTTAGTTTGATTTGCAGATGTTCGGTCTACTTTAAATGTCTTTCACTGGATATCAATAAATCTCAATTTCTTAATTAAATTAATAGTTTATTTTAAAGAAGCATGCGTAATAATATTACGTCTAATTTCACCCCCTTAGCGGTCGAATTTTCAAAAAATCCCTTCTTAGTGCTCATTTACATCACTTAAGGAACCTATGTGCCAAATTTTATTTATTACTATATAGATAACCTTTACCCTTATTGTCAGCTAATGAATATTAAGAGACAAATAATAAAAATAAAATCTAAATTATAAATTTCATGGCTATAAATAGCATATATATGCATCTAGAAATTCTGACTTTCAAACATCCACTGCGACTAGTATTTTCATATCCAATTGTCTAGTATTAAAGTCCGAATATACATTTTCCCTGGGTTTGACCGGGAATTTGCTTATAAATGTGAACAACCGGCTACGTGGCTTCACATCGCGTGGCCGTGGTGTGGCTCCAAATTCGTTCGTTTTAAAAATATTATTTGATTTGGCTATAGGCGCCCTCTGTGTCATTAATAGGGAACTGTCTCATCGAAAACATGCTGTTCCGTAAGCAATGGCCATCTGGATTATGTGTTATCTGTGGTTCTATCCTTTTTTAACCTTTCTATAATTAGTAATAATTTTTGGCTTAGTTTTATGATATATGATCTAGGGTTTTATGTCAATTTTAAGTAAATTATTGTCATTCCCCAGACGTCGATGACACCGTTTTTTTCCTATCATACAGTATTACTATATTTCGCAAATCCACATTTAAAATTACATTTAAAGTAAAATATTATATTACCTATAAAATTGGAAAATATCGAAATTCTTGATATATTTTCATAAAACAGCACGCCACTGGATATTTTATTAATTAAATCGGCCATATTTTTAGGAAACTACGTCCACCAGGGTTGCCACATTGTTTCAGATCCGTTTGTCAGGCTGTAGTTTTTTCTTTATTTTTTTATGGTAGGGAATAATAGCAACTGAATCATGTTATTCTCAATAATCTTATCGCACGGTGTAAAAATCTTGTTGAAATATTTATAGAAAAAATATATAAGAACTTCTTTATAGAAAAAAAATACCTATAGTTAATTTCTCTTACCTTCTCGCAGAAACTCTTAAAAGCAGTCTTCAATTTATGCCTCAACTCCCTCTCCGATTGTTCAGCGGCCAAATCATCTCTATCGTGCATATGCTGGTGCTTCCCCAAATCCGTAGTGATCTCACCCACCTCAGTATAGAACTGCACATCGATATGCTTCTTCTTACCAAACATTATCGCATGCTTCAGGTGAAAATGCAACAATATAATCATCTCACCATCGCAAGGTTGAAAGAATGCATTCTTAATATTATTATAAAGTATGTCAACTTTATCACCTCTTACTGAAGTATACCTAAACCCATTAGTGTGAGCTTCCAGGCTTCCAGTCATACGCTTTGACACAATATTCGGTCTGATATACAAGTCCTTTAGTTTAGGGTTACCTTTATTTTGAGAGAGTACCAAACTATCCTGTTTCACTAAATCTTCCTTCTCTTTTTCTTCAGCCTCTCTGGTTTTGAACTTTCTTTGTACCTCTTTAATCAATCGAAATGCTGTATTCAAGTTAGATGAAGGTGGGGATATTTCACCAGGTTCCTTAGTGTTTGTGCTACGGTAAGTTACCTCCTTTACAAAGGTAGCTTCAGGTTGCTGGAAATTACCGTCCTTTCCCATGGTAGAACCGGGATGGAAAAAATTCACACGCAAATACGTGTAATCTCCTTCAACCGACTGTGAAATATTTTTAATTGTTGATATATGAAATGGTACAGCCACACCATAAACTGGCAAAATTACAGTTTCATATTTCTGATCAACATAAATCTTCATCTCTTTGATTTCTGGCACTCTGGGCATCTGATTAACATTCTTATATGATACAGTATTTTTCCTAACTTTTTCTACATCTTTTGCACCTCCTTGCTTCGCCAACCTTTCTTTAGCTTTCTCATTTAACTGAGCTGCTAACTCCCTTTGATGTTCTTTCCTTTTTTCCTCGGAAGTATGTTCAGTACGTAATTTTGATTCTAACACTGCTGTTCTTCTTGCTCTACCTGACAAAGCCTCAGGTTTTGGAGTGTTTTCTTTTTCTTCGTCATTCTCTTCTTCATCTGAGTCTTCTTTCAAGAAAATTCCAACGTTTTTAATTTTCTTTTTACTAATTGTTAAAACTGATGCTGGTTGGCCTTCGTTAACCATCACAGTGTCTCCAATAAAAAGAGCATAAGTTTTACCTTCTTTATCGCTGGCTTCTTTGTTTGTTAAATTACTGAAACCAACGTTCAAGTTAAAAACCATTCCTTTTTTGATTTTACTCATGGTTTTAGGACCAATCATTAAGGAACTTTCTTTAAACTCAATCCCCATAGCAAATCCGAAGTTCTTGGTAAGACTATCAACCAAATTTGGTTTTTCTTTCTTAACATATTCCAAACCAGTTTCGTAAACTTGTGACAGTTTTACACCAGCTTGCAGTTTTTTTAATAATTCTTCTTCTAACTGCAGTAAAAAGTTATAATTTGCCTGTATCTCATCTGTAGGATTGACCATCAAAGTCCTTACAATGTTTGAACAATACAACTTGTACCTTACACCCAAAGAACAAATTATAGCCCCAAAGTGCAGGTTATTTTTGTCACTTACTGCACTGAATTTCAGGCTGTACACACCTCCTGACTGGATTATAGCAGGGTAACACATATCAACCTGATTTACATCTACTCCTGATACGTATTTCTTATCCTGAATGGCTGATTCAACACCTTCGGCTAGTTTACTGTGCCTAACTTTTTTCTCTGAATCGATAATTTCCATTATTTGATCTTTTAAATACTTTGTGAAAACATCTACACTAACTAGACATGCTTTTTTGATAGTTACTATCTCAGAATCCTCTTTGGGGGCCATCAAATATGCTACAGAAGCACTGGCATCGATCATTTCAAATCCTTCCTTCTTCAAAGCACCTTTCCAGCTATCCATTAGAGCTCCAGCATAGTTATCCTTAGGAAAATGCCCGACAGATTTACCTTTTTTGCTCTGTTTAATAGCTGATATCAGTGTTTTGAAGTTCTCGCTGTCTTTGTCCTTATCTCTAACGATTAAATTGAGTTGAACTTGACTCTCATCTTTGGTCTCGCCTTGCCGAAGAAAGTCAATTTTCTTTTTACTAGCCAGGAAGTGTATTTTGTTTTCCGTGAGCACGACGATGGTGTCTGTGAGCTCGTAACCGAGGAGCCATGTGTGTAGGGCTCCGGACTTGCTGTAAACAATCTCGTCGTCCTTTCCAACGGCCGCTACCAGTGCATCCATCTTCGAAAAGCCATTTTCGCCCTCGGGATCGTTCCAGGCGTTGTACAGCCGCTTCAATCGTCTGTGGAACGCTTCTTTATCCAAGTTTATATTCGCCATTTTGCATAACAAACTGAAAAAACAATACAAAACATCCGATTTTCGTGCCGGAAAAGCATGTAAATCGGCGCAATTCTTTAACAAGAAGGCGCCATAAAACGAAACGTCAAAAATTGTGTCATTTAAACAATGCAGCCAACCTTTGAATTTTGAATTAAGAAAATTATATATGATTTTTTCATAAAAATTGTGTATGACAGTTGACAGATTTTTTTACTGACAAGGAAAGTTTTTTTATGACACATTCCAACCTACATTTTATTTTACTTTTAAAAAACTAAAAAACAAATAATATACTCGATTTTATCCTATTTTGAGACTATTATTATGAAATAATTTAAGTAGAATGGCACTTAATACAATTGGAAGGATCTGGATAGGGTTAATATCTATTTTCCTACTTTTAATTAAGTATATTTACATTTTTTTTATTTGTAGTTCATCTAAATCATTACTGTTTCAAAACGTTCAAAAAACGAAACAATTCAAGCCGATTAGGAATTTTAGAAGGAATAAGAAAAGCGTAGAAGTAAAAGAAGAGGCTAAAGTAAATCCGGGTAGTTTAGAAACGCCATTTAGTAATGTTTATGTAGGATCAGCAGATTTAAGCGTAAATAAATTATGGAAACCCTTCCTATTCACAGTTGGAGTAATATATACATAGATATTTCATTTTACTCCTTAAAAACTAATTGTTTTACTAGTTTTCAGGTGCAACATTTGTAGGATGTGCAATTTGGGAATACGAAAACATGAGATCTCACGCAATATCTGCCTTAAAAAGACCAGTTAAGTTTTTTAAGAGAAAAACTGAATTTGCTGTCGAAAGATCGGTAACAATAGCACCATTATAAAAAGAATTATTATGAAATACAGTTGAAGATTATTAAAACACAATTACTTTTTCAGAATGTTGTAGTAAAGGAAGTTAGAGCATGGTGGAATTCTTTAACCCCTGGACAAAGGGTTTTTGTCCCTATATGCGCCCTAAATATCCTAGTTTTTGCAGCTTGGAGGGTTCCAAGATTACAACCCTTTATGTTACACTATTTTGCCTCAAATCCTGCAAGTCCTAACCAGTGTATACCGATGATTTTGTCAACTTTCAGTCATTACTCGCTTTTTCATTTGATGGCTAACATGTATGTCCTTCATAGCTTTAGTACAGGTAAATAATAAAATTAATAAACCAACCCCTCCTCCCCCCTTAGAATATTGTATTTTTTGACATAAAATCTTTCTATAGGTGCTGTTCATAGTTTAGGCAAAGAACAATTCTTGGCGCTCTATTTAAGCTCAGGAGTTATATCAAGTTTCACAAGTTATCTTCATAAAGTCCTTACAAAACAGCCTGGACTATCATTGGGGGCCGTAAGTTAAATATACAGGATGTTATTTTGTAATAATCCAGAGTATTAATTTCTTTGTGTTGCAGTCAGGCTCAATAATGGCTGTGCTTGGGTATGTTTGTACGGAATACCCTGATACAAGGCTAGGCATCATTTTATTACCATTCCTAACATTTTCTGCGGGAACTGTAAGTATAAATCATCTAGTTATATTAAAAATATATTCAATTTAGCTTTTTTAGGCCATAAAAGTAATTGTAGGTCTTGATACAGCCGGTGCTATACTGGGTTGGAGATTTTTTGACCATGCAGCTCATTTAGGTGGAGTTCTTACAGGAATGTAAGTAAAAATCTTTATCAAAGAAACACTGTATTTCATTTAATATCTTCTATTTTTTTTAGTGGTTGGGCATTATGGGGCAACCAAAATATATGGCCAAAAAGAGAACCGATTTTAAAGTACTGGCACGAACTTAGGGGCTCAGTTAAATAAATCATAACTCATGTGTTTTTTAAAGCAGATAATATATTGTAAATAATTTACTGGATACCTACAAAGAAATGTAATAAAAAACTTTTTAATATTTATCAAAACTTTTATTTTAATTTTTCTTCATATTATACGGAACAGCTTAAACTAAATACTTTTTATGGTATTTAATGTGCTCACCTATAAATGAGGCAATATAAAAGTAACTGTGGTTGTACCCATCCCTTTGTTTATAAATAACAGGAACTCCAGATGATTTAGAAGCTTCAACTAGGTTTTCTGGATTGAGTTGAAATAAAAATTGATCGGAAGTACCCTATATACACAGTAAAAATAATCTTGCGTCTGTTTTATACATAAAAAATTGAATCTTATATATACCTGGTCGATAAAAAGTTCCAAAGGAGGCCTATTGTACTTCTTCACCAATTCAGTGGCGTCCCATTGTTCCCAATTACCAGTTTCTTTAGGACCTAAGTACCCTGTAAAAGCTTTTATTCCCCATGGACATACGCTTGGATTACAGATGGGAGCAAAAGCAGATACAGATTTGAAAAGTCCTGGATTTTTTAGAGCCAAGATCAGTGCTCCATGACCTCCCATGCTGTATAAATGTTAATTAATAACTAATTCAATTAAAAAGTACCCATTTTAACCTACCTATGACCCATAATAGATTGTTGCGCTGGTAAAACATTAAAATTTTTATTTACTAAATCTATAAGCTCACTAACGATGTAGTCATACATTTTATAGTTATTTTTCCATGGGTCTTGTGTGGCGTTCAAATAAAAACCTGCACCTACTCCGAAATCCCACGATTCTGAGTCCCCAGGGATATTCAAACCTTTCGGAGATGTATCAGGGTTGATAATTATTACCTCTTGTTCAGCAGCGTATCTCTGAGCACCTGCTTTTTCAATAAAGTTACTTTCTGAACAGGTTAAACCGGAGAGCCAATAGATTACTGGTAATTGTTTTTCGCTGGCCTGAGACGGTATGTATGCTCCAAATTTCATTGTACAACCCAAAGTTTTCGATTCATGACTGAAGACTTTTTGAAGACCCCCAAAAATCTTGTTTGCGGAAATTTCTGTTAAAGCCATCTGTTAGAATACCTTTATTATACTCTTGGAATATTATATTCTTAATTATATAATGTAAACAGTGGCTAGAACTGAGAAAAAATATAATGCAAAATAACTCAATATTGATCGATAGCGATTTTAAAAACTGCAAGTGTAGTGATATTTTTATAATCTAAATAAACTTTAAAAACCAATGTCAAAAGTTCAAGGAAAAGATAACAAAAATTATAAATCAATCAAAAAATTGAGTTCTCTTTTTAGAAAAATTTAGAAAATAAAAATATTTTTATTTTTTTTTCATTAAAATCATCACCAGATGGCGCTCTAAACAGTATTCCTAGTGATGGGAAAACATATCGATAAATCAAAATTATCGATATTTTTCTAAATTCTCCTAAATTTTCTAATATAATTATTAGGGAGTTTTCGTTGCTTACAAATTGCAATTTCGGTTAACGCTAATTGACAACTTTGACATTTCAATTTCGATTATCGTATATCGTAACCGCTAGCTGCCGATATTTTACGGACGTTCTAGGTTGAACTCCCCATAAAGTTCTGCTTAATATTCGATGTTGTTTTCAAACCCTTCCAACAGCATAGCATCCTCCAAATCCGATTCATCACTAGAGTCCAATAAAATTAAATTGTCCATCCTATATAGCGATACCCAATAAAGTCATATAAAGCACTTTCAAATCAAACAACAATAAAAAAAACAAAAATCAAAACACTACGCTACGGGCTGTGCTCAGCTGTCAGTTTTCGGTTATCGTATCGTATGTCGGCTCCGAACCGATGAACCGAAAGTCCGAAAACTGTTTTTTTATCTGTCAAAATAGCGGTTATGGTTAAGTATCCGTTAACCGTACCGTTGAATTTTTTAAAGCAACGAAAACTCCCTCCCTATTATGTTTCTTGGAGGGTTTATAGATATATAAAGTGCACTAAACTCTATTTTTATTTAAAATACCATTTCAAAATTACAAACATTACATTGACAACTAAACTTATGACATGAGCTTCACCATTTTTCAGGTATTCACAGGTGGAAGTGTACTCCGATAAATATATAACAATAATCATATAAATTCTCAAATCGAAAACTCTTAAAACGATATCGCCAACTTAAATAATACAAAATTTAATTTTTAAAAAAAAAATTCTAAGTATTTTATTATTTTTCTATTCATTTTCAGTACGAAACTATTGAAAATGGCGCAATGTTGCGTTAATTCTTGGTAAATTTGGAAAATAAAAATATTTTAGTTTTTGTTTCAGCAATATCGCCACCAGATGGCGCATATTTAGAGATGGAAAATTATATCGATAGGTAAAAATTATCGATATATATTTTCAAATATCATATATAATCTTTAACTCATATAAATTTTCAACTCGAAAACTCTTAAAACAATATTATCAACTTAAACAAAACAAAATTCAAATTTTAAAACAATTTCCTAAGTTTTTTATTAGTTTTCTATCCATTTTAAATCTGAAACTAAAGCAATGTGATCAGAAGGGAACACCACGCTTGGAATGGCGCTATTTTGCATTAATTCTTCGTCACTTGGTAGAGGAACCACTTGCCGCACTTCTAACGACGATTTATCGTAGTAAATATAGTCCAAACAGTCGGCAAAAAGTACAGTAAAGTTCGTATACTTTGGGGTACCACATGCGCTTCCTAGTTTAAAACTTTGATGCACGTCTATGTTTTCAATCTTTTCTTCTTCATCTATAACAAAAAAAAATGCATTAAAAATGTTTAAAATTTTCAACTTTTTGTGGACTTACTGCTACTGTAATCTACAAAGTTCCCTGGTACAAAACCTGAAGTAAATAACTTGTAAATACCACAGCTAGGAACACTATTGAAGTCTCCACAGAATATCAGAGACACCCTTTTCCCCAAATACTAAAAATCACAGTACAACCATAAATTTTAAATACTACACCATAATAATTATTAACAAACCCTTTCCCGCAACTTTGCAGCCATATTTTCCAAGTATTTTATAGCCAAGCATCCGTGAATTAGCCTGATATGATCAGAATCAGGATGGAAATACAGATGAATGTTAGCTACAAGAAGAATTTCATCATGTTCCAAAGAACCTAAGACGTTCACTTGTAAAGTGGTACTTCTCGCTTTTATTCTATCGAGAAGTTTAGAATTCTCAGATATTTTATTACAGATATCTGCAAAAACTGGTTCTTTGTCTAATCTCTCTGAAAACACAAATTTTTCGTAGTCTAAGTGAACGAATCTTTGATTATTGTAGAAAAATGCTAATCCTTCGGCTACTTCATTGCCTTTTAAGGTAAGAGATCCACTATAATTATAATGTGACAATGTTGGTTCAAGATCATAAGTAAATACCTTTTTGTCCACCTCTTGCAAGCAAATTATATCCGAATTATAACCTACAATATAATGTTTTAACATTTGAATCATTTTTTTTCAAAATCTTTACCTATAATTTCCTTCATAAATAACTGCTTTCTATAATTAATATTTAATGCATAAGGTGGACAGTAAGGGAATAAAACTTCCCTAGTATAATCAGAATCACAGTATAAATTTGCTAATAAATTATAAGTCATGACACGAAACCTAGAAAAAATAAGTGAGGTTATTAAAATTTTTTATTCAATTTAAATACATACTCTTTTCCTGTTGCTCTTTGTTTGGTAAATGCATGTCTTCTCTGAAAGGGACATTCACCAGGTCCTGCTTGAATTTGACAGGAACTTACGCTTTCGACTATAGGTCCATCACTGTCTTCATTTTTGGGGGTGCAAGTTAGTTTTAGATAGTGATTAATATCTGAATTGTTAGGTATGTAAATGTAATCGTTTCCTACTTGGGTCCAATTAGTTTTGTCTGTTGATTTATACCATAAAAATTCACTGAGTTCTTTGTTGGTAAACTGAGTCTCCAATTTGATTGGGTAAACTGGAAAGTCAGCAATGATTGAATCTGGTAACTCAAGGGATTCAATCCAAGGTGAGTTTACAACAATGTTATATTTCTTCTCGTTAATACACAGAACTAGCTTGGTGTGAGGTAAAAAAATATCTCCGCATACATTACTTCTTGGAATTTCAATATTGTCCTGTACCAGTAATGTTTCTATACTTGGAGAAGACTCTGTTGGGACCTCAGGTGATTTCTTTCTTTTCTTTTTCTTCGAAACAACTTTTTCTACACTGCTAGAAACCCGAGTTAAGAATGTGTCTACGTCTTCTGAGAGTTTCCTTGAAAAATTAAACACCCTCTTTACTGTAGGTTCTTCTTGTTTATACTCGAAGGTGAATTCGAAATGCTGACCGTCGTCGCACTGCCTCAAATAAGCTTTATTCATACTGAATAAATACCCTTTAGTTTTTTGCGAAAAATATCTGCGTTGTGCTTGAAAACTCACGATTTTTAGAATGTTTAGTCCGGCACACATTTTACATTATCTAAGGTTAGGCGAGTAAAATTGAGTAATATTTATGTTTCTTTTTGTTAAATTATGTTAACAAAGCCATTTAATATCAACAGTTATCGTTTTCTCCCAGACATTTTACACTGAAAAAGTATTTTTAATTGAAAATTTCATGTTTTTCTTTGAAAAATTAAAAGCTACTCTAGCGCCATACTCATTTCGTGTCGTTTTCCGGAACTACAACTGAATAAATCATATATAAATACAAGTATCATATATAAATTTAATCGCAAAAATATGCTTATATACAGAGTTATTTTTAAGGAGTTGTCAAACTGACATTTAATGACATTGACATTTCGTGTTGCGTTTGGTTTCGTGCTGTTTGTTCTATATCATTGTTTTATTTGTTTATATTTTCTCATATTTTAACACGCAGAAATGATTATTTAGTGATTGAAACTACCGTAGAGTAGTCGCCGAACGTTAAGATGAAGTTGGTTTTCGCGTTTCTGTTAATTTTCTACCTCAAAAATGCACACGGGGCTCAGCAGCACGGTTCGACCAAAATCAGTTACGACGATGCTATCCCTCATCACAACAAATGCCAGCCTATTACCGTTCCTTTTTGCAAAGGAATTCCTTATAATGAGACCATTCTACCGACGTTATTAGGCCACAACACTCAAGAAGAGGCTGGACTGGAGGTTCACCAATACTTTCCTTTGATTAGTGTAAACTGCAGTGTTGACATACAGTTCTTCTTATGTTCAGTGTTTCTGCCTGTTTGTACTATCTTAGATCACGCTCTTCCACCTTGTCGTTCTTTGTGTTTGCGCTCCAAAGAGGGATGCGAGGGTCTCATGAGCAATTTTGGCTTTCACTGGCCTGAATTCTTGAATTGTGATAGATTTCCTGACAACTCTCAACCAGAAGTGCTTTGTGTCGGGGAGAACAAACTCTCGGCCCCTTCAAGTACACAAAGTTCCAGTGCCTCAAATTCCAACCAACGTACAAACAACTTCCACGTGCCTCTGCATGGTAAAAATCTGGGATTCGTTTGTCCCGAACAGTTCAAAGTTCCTCCAGATCTAGAGTACAGTTTCAGAGTGAAGGATAAAGTTGAGAAGAATTGCGGTGCTCCATGTCATATGATGTTTTTTAATGAAAAAAAAATACAGTTTTCTAGGGTATGGGTGTCAATATGGTCAGTTCTTTGTTGTGCTAGTTGTTTCTTTACTGTAAGTACCTTTTTGATTGATACTGATAGGTTTAGGTATCCAGAACGCCCAATAATATTCTTGTCAATTTGCTATTTTATGATAGCATGTGCCTATTTGGTAGGGTTCTTTTCTCAGGACTCTATAGCTTGTAGAGAGCCCTTTCCATCGAAACATGGAAATATAACTGTCAGTACTATTACTCAAGGCACCAAACACGAAAGTTGTACCATTTTATTTATGATAGTGTATTTCTTCAGTATGGCTAGTAGTATTTGGTGGGTTGTTTTGACTCTTACTTGGTTTTTGGCTGCCGGTTTGAAATGGGGACATGAAGCGATTGAAGCTAATTCACAGTACTTTCATTTAGCGGCATGGGCAATACCAGCTATAAAGACTATTACTATTTTAGCCTTAGGAAAAGTTGATGGTAAGTGATATACCTATATTTTTTTAGTAATAATAAACTCTATTAGAAATAAACATACATAAGCTTATAAAAAATAAAAAGGAAAAATACGTGTGATAATAAGTACGACCCTGATGACTAAACAAAGAAAATATTTATGCTACTAAAAAGAATAACTCCAAGAAAGCAATAATAAAAAAAAATCAACGCTGATATGCAAGCAATTGAAACGAAATTATGTTAAAAAATGTCTCTCTACAATTTCCTGTCTGACAATGTACCGTTTGTGTCCGGGAAGGGTTCATAGTTTCATAGTTGTCGATTTTCGAAAGAAATCAGTACATGTATGTTATTTCGTATATTTTTCATTTTATTGATTTTATGGAAAGCACTGTTCATTAAAATGTTGTATCCTATGTTATAGGGCTTGTCTCTCTCTACAATTTCCTGTCTCACAATGTACCGTTTGTGTCCGGGAAGGGTTCATAGTTTCATAGTTGTCGATTTTCGAAGGAAATCAGTACATGTATATTATTTCGTATATTTTTCATTTTATTGATTTTATGGAAAGCATTGTTCAATAAATAACATTTCGTATTTCATTTGGTGTTATAACATGAAAGTTCTGTGCTGCAAATTATGATGTACAGGGTGTTTCAAAAAACATGTGCCATCTCTTGTGGGGAGATTCCTCACGTAAAAATAAGATTTATTTTTCATATCAACATAGGTCCGATTCTGCTTTGTTTCATAGCTACAGGATGTTAAAATCTTATAATCTTTCGATTTATTATAATTTTAACTTTATGATAAAAACTTTAACTTTGTGATATGTTAATGTTAAGGTTAGGTTTAGCTATTTTACTATTTTCTGTCACTGTATTTTTTTTATATTGGGCAATTATTGTCCGTTGATAAATAAAAAAATAAAATAAAATAAAATTTTTTTCTAAATACTATTAGTGATTCAAATGAAATTTTGAGGGTTAAAGTTACTATAATTGCTACATATTTTAATTGCTAAAAAGTGTTGATAAATTCATCAGGGACGTGCATATGGGTTATCACTGGAATATTTTTCAAAAAAAAAACATGTGCGCCACTGTCGTTTTTTCTTTTGATATCAAAATTGTGTAAACCAGGTGTAAAAGTGTAAACTGTTAAATGCCAATTAAAATATCTCTTGATATTTTGTCGAATTTAGCCTCCTTGATGAGATAAACGCAATTTTATTAATCACAATTAATAAAATTATAAAAAAAATATTATTTATTTTTCCTATTAGTCCAACCTACAGCAATTTCAAATAAAAAAATAATGGTATAATTTTATTAATCACAAATAATAAAATTAAAATGAAAATTATTTTTAAGCAACCTACAACAATTTCAAACAAAAAAATTGGCGCCGGGAGGCACGTATAGCCGCCCATACTAAAATATGTTAATATCTCGAAAACTGCGACTTTGACTGATTTTGATGTTATTACAAATTTTGTTGCAAATATTATTCCTAATCTTAATTTGAAAACCGCGTTTCGCTAGCTACTGTAATTTTGGAGTTACGATTTTTTAAAATTTTTAACCCCCTCCTATACCCCCTTACCAACCCCTCACCCCCACCAAAAACTAATGGCCAGATTCTCGGGTGCCACAGTATTTTTGTGCCAAATTTGGTTAAAATCGGTTCAGCGGTTTTTGAGTTATCGTGTTACAGACGGACAGACAGACAGACACTACAAAAATATTTTGTATTTAGGTCATTTATGACCCAAATAACTCATTTTGAGTTAAATTAAAAAAACTTTTTATTGCCGATCCTAATAGCCTACCATACCTATTGGTATGGTCGGCTAAAAATAATGGTATTTAAGATAATTACAGAAAACCTAATTTTAAAAAATTTAAACCTCTAAAACTATGCATTTCCATACCCATGTTTATAGGAACTTTTTTCATATTTTTTTTTTGTTGAGGAATCATTCAAAATCATTTAAAACTTTTGCAAATTAATGATATTAATTTTTTTAAGGGTTGCTATATAAATTATAAATTTGGGAATTTTTTATTTTTTATTAAATTATGTATGTACTTAATCATAATTCTTTCTTGGAAAAAATTCTACTTTGTTGAGAAAATTCTACTTGAAAAAATTACGATAAAACAGTTTCTGTTGAGACTATGGAAATTATACAGGGGACATTTCTATAAAAATCATTAATTTCAGGTGATATTCTCAGCGGAGTGTGTTATGTTGGAATATGGAACGTGGAAGCAATGAGAACTTTTATTCTCATCCCATTGGTCATCTATCTGATTATAGGAACCGCTTTTTTGACCAGCGGATTTGTCTCTTTGTTCCGTATTCGTACAGTGATGAAACACGAAGGAACCAAAACGGAAAAATTGGAAAAGCTGATGATAAGGATAGGAATATTCTCGGTGCTTTACACTTTACCTGCTTTGATCGGTAAAAAATATATTTTTTCGTTTTTCTTTTCAAAAATATTTTTTTTTACAGTTATAGGATGTCTGTTCTATGAAAGTACTTACTTTGACGACTGGATGGCCACTTGGTGGACTGATATTTGCAGGAATACAAAGTATTCAGTACCTTGCCCGTTGCCAGGTAAATATTTTTTATTATTTATACAGGGTGGCTCGAATTCGACGCTCATCATTGGGATTTCGGAAACCGTAAGAGATACAGAATCGGTTAAATGGAGGCAAAGTTGCGCAATTTGATGCTCAATAAAATGCCGTATTGCATTTTGAAAAATTCCAAATACTTCCGAATATATTCCAAAAAAAAACGGAATTTTCAATTTTGTTTTCTATTGTTTCCTGGCTTTATTTGTTAAGATAACTTAAAATGAAAAACACTTTTTCATGGCCACTTTTTCTGCTCTATAACTCTGTGTGATTAAATATTGACTCTGACGTTTCGGCTTCTGGCGACCACCATCAACTTAATTTTTTTAAATACAGACCTGATTTTTTTTCAATTTAATTAAATTCTTTCATCATCCTTAAAACACTATATATAGTCACTTTGATATTTGCCGACGTTTCGTAGAGAAAATTCCATCACCAGAATATTTTATGCAACGAACAAAAAAAAATAAAATAAAAAATACAAATGCAATACGGCATTTTATTGAGCATCAAATTGCGCAACTTTGCCTCCATTTAACCGATCCTGTATCTCTTAAGGTTTCCGAAATCCCAATGATGAGCGTCGAATTCGAGCCACCCTGTACAGTGTGAGAAAATTAGATTGAGTAAAGTTCATTACAATCTTGTTTGTTTTTGGTTTAGAAAAATTTTAGGGAATGTTATGATACACGGTTTAAAATCATTTTTGAGTATACAGGGCGCTTTAAAAAAGCGTGGTGTGTGTAACATACGGTAATTGATTGCAAAACATTTTCCTATATACGTCATCAATCATATCGAAATTGACACTAATAAATTTGACTAAATGAAGTTTTGGTAAAAATGTTTAAATTTGTTGTATAATTTAAGTTACCATGCAGCTCTTCATTTTACTTTATAGAGCAAATGATTGTAACAGATATTTTATTTAGATTAAAGCTACAAAAATTAGTTTAAACCGAATTTTATTATCGCTATGTTGATCACATTGCGCCGTGTTCAGCAACGTTGTCGTTTATTATTTGACAATTATCATAATGTCAGTCATTATTTTGTATAATATTATGGTGTTGTTGAATCTTTTTAGTAATTCTCGTTGTTTGCCTATTTTCATAGTTTTTTTTTAAATTGTTGTTTTAAGCACAAACAGTTCTTTTAAGAACTAAATTTTCGAGTTTCTGTATTGCATTTTCTGAAATTGTATGTTGAAAATATGCCAAAGCATATAAACAGTCGAAGCAAATAGCTTGTAACTTCCGTGATAAACTATTTTGAACAACAACGTGACAATAAAGGTTCTTTATTATCCTTGACTGCTTTCCCATTCTTCTCTTATCGGGATGCGAATCCTTATCTTTTCTCCAAAATCATGTTTGGTGAGCATATAGTCCGTTTTCTGGTCTAGCATATGTGGACTCGTGTTCATGGGAAAGCAACCGAGTAATGAACACTCAAGAGATAGCAGTCTACACAGATGCTTCCGTAAATTCAGGGGGCACAGGTATAGGCATCTTCTCAGAGAAACTAGACATCCGACGATCTTTGAGGCTATCGGATGGCTGTAATGTTCTACAAGCAGAGGTTTACGCCATAAAGGAAGCGGCTAGTTGTATACGAGAGAAAATTGCTGATACACCAATAGGGGATATAGTGATATACTCTGACAGCTTGGCCGCTTTAAGAAGCATCACCATGCAATCAGTGAGATCGAAAACTGTGATGGAATGCCGAGAAGCGCTGTCCTGGCTGCATCGGGGCGGGGCTACTCTGTGCTGGGTGCCAGGCCACAGCAATGTGGTGGGCAATCAGGAAGCAGACAGACTCGCCAAAGACGGGGCCAGGGGAGAGGCCGTGGCAGACGACCCACCACTTGTGACGATCAACACACTGAAGGAGGCTATAGGAACTGCCATCAAAGCCAAGCAGCAAGAGACGTGGCAACACCGTGAGGACTGCACTACAGCTCGAAGACTATGGCCAGTGGTAGATAGCAAAAAGACAAAACAACTACTAGAGCACAAAAAGGACCTAGTACGCATAATTGTAGGTGTCGTCACTGGAAACTGTCCCACGGGTGTAAACCTCGTAAGATGGAAAGTTTCCGACGACGACTACTGCAGAGAATGCGGAGAGGAAGAAGAAACCATAGAGCACCTGCTGTGCCACTGTCCGGCACTGGAATACCGACGCTTTAAAACTTTAAAACTTTTTTTTGGGCAAGGTTTTTTGGAGGACTAGAGGAAGCAGCAGAAGACAACATCAACGACATCGGGAACTTTGCAAAGAGCTGGAAGTGCTTTAATGCAAAAAAAGAATGAGAGGAAGGTTTGGTAAAACAATACAGGGGTATCGCAATGAGCCCACGGCCTCCGAGTGAGGGATCAAATATGATTCTAAACCCCAGCAACCTAACCTAACCTAACCTTATCCTTGACTGAGTCAGAGAGATCATTATACCACTTTCAAAGTTATTTCTATGTTAGTTTTTAGTAAATTCTGTGATTATTACTTAGTTTGTGCATTAATTGTACCCTCTTACTTGTTATTGCCACTTGTGGTGTTGTAAGATGTACATCAATAAATAAATAAATAACCCATAATAACGTTTAGAATAATCTTCACAATGGAGTAGTTTTTGCCAATGTGTAATAAGTAAAATAAGCTATAAAACAAATAAATGAATTAATTGCTAAAATATTAATTATTAAATTAAAAATAAAACGTAAATATTTTTTTACGTTTCCCAATTTTACATTAAGATTCATCTCATAAATTCATCACAATCCGGCAGCGCTGTCGCCATCGCTTGTCACTCAAAGTTGATCACGTGCATCGGCAATTGTTTTGCGATTTTTGTATGTTTTTTTATTGCCGTCTATGATCTAGGGTCAGGGTTAGCATTTTCATTTAGGCCAACACGTCCTCCATAGATATTTTGAATTTTCAGTGTCACTTAGGATATTTTTTTTTATAGTGAAAAAACAGAAAAAGAGTTATCCCCGTTTTGAAGCCTTCATGATCAAATACCTGATGACGATGATTGTGGGCATCACGTCCAGCGTGTGGATATGGTCGGGCTTCGGGAAGACCGTGCACAGCTGGAAGGTGTTCTTCAACAGTCTGAGAAGACGACGCGTCGAAGCCTACGTGTGAACCAAGCTTTAGTCTCGTTCGTAAGCAATTTTTTTTAATAAGCTGCAATATTTTTTAAACTATAACTTATAGCAATTTATTGATGTTTTTTTTTTAAAAGAAGTGAACAGTAGGGTTTAGGATACATAGCGAACAAGGGAAGACAGTATCTGTCAAATTATATTATACAGGATGATCCAAGTTTTTGTAGTTATCTTTTTGTTTCCAAAGAAAAGTTGCTTTTTTGTGTCGTTAAAACTGGACCACCCTGTATATAGTTGGTAAAAAAACCTTTTTTTCGACTACACACAAGGTTTTACTTGATACGTTTTGACTGAACGGTTAAGACTGACAGGCAAAACGTTATGTATAGACTTGGCTTTAGGAATCTGACATACTTAAAAAAAACAAATAATCTTTTTTTTTTTGTTTTTTTTTCGCAATACTAAAACAAAATCACCCTAGAATTAAGTATATCCAATAAAACAATAATAATTAGATAATCTTAGACTATCTTAATTATTTTATTTTTGGATTAAATTTGAAGTTTAAACAGGTGATAAGTCCGTGTTATCTGAAGCAGACATCAATAGTACTCAAATTATCCTTAATTGTTTTTTATTATCAGTATTATATTAGAGATATTATTCTTTATAGTTTATATGCCTTTTTACTTATTTTATTTGACTGTAAAATCGTAGGAATGTTTAAAAAATTTCTACAAAATGTGTAGAATCTCAATAGAAATGAAGATATTAAGAAAAAACATTAATCTGTGATAGCACAATTGGTTCGTTATAAATAATGTATCCGTGATATTTTTGATCAAAAAGGATTTTTTTAATATACAGTGGGTACAAAAAATTACCTGTGTATATGTTTTAATTTCCTATAAAAATTTCTCAGAAATGATAATGATTTTACTGAATCTCAGAAAACATTTGTATGTTTTTACCGAAAACTTTTTAAGTATTTTTTTATACAGGGTGTTTCTTAAATAAGTGGTCCCCCATAAACACGTCCTTGAAGTTTTTTGCAATAAAATGAAAATTTTACTTTTTTCGGGAAATTTTAAAAAACTTTTCAGAGCCACAGGTTCATTCTCCTGATATTTCTCGACAGTGTATTTTGCTTTGCAGTGTTTTTTTTTGCTTTGCAGTGTTGCACTTTGCACCACCTCTTACGTTACCCACATTATGTAATTTATATTTTTAAGTTTACAATAATTTTAATTTTCTACAAAAAAAATAGATAATAAAGTTTCGCAAGTTGTTTTATGTTAAATGTATACTTTCTTTTTGAATTGGCAACACTGGATGTCAAATAAAAGATTGCCGATAGATACCGGAGGTTCTCAAAATGTAGGCTTAATTGAATGACTTGGTTTTGATTATTTTCAATTTATTTATAATATGCTTTTCTTGTCCATCCCTACCACCACTTTAAAAAACTAGCAAATATTTAAGAAACACCCTGTATATTACGGAAAATTAGACCAGTTTACTCTTAACCTATTTCACATTTGTGAGCTCCCCTGTATACAAAGCCACGTATTTATTATTATTTAACAACTTTATTAGCAATTTTATAAAGATACAGAAATTTTGTCATAAATAAAAATAGGTAAGTTAATTTTGAAAAAATGACGAGCCAAGTAATGATATCTAGAGCTTGACCTCGCTAAAATTAGCATCGATTGTCTTTCCCTAGCATTCTATGAAACCGTTTTTTGTTTCTCTTATATTGAATAACTTGTTCGCTATGTACAATAGAATTAAATTTTATTTTAAATCGTTTCTTATAGTGTTTTGGTGAATTTTTTCACTAAATGTACTAGGCAATGCCTTTTTGTGACCCAACCTAGCTAAAAATGTTGGTTATAACAATTTAATATGAAACTTAGTGCAAGAAAATCAATACAAAGTCGATACAATTTATTTTAGTTTTTTAAAAAAGCTAATGATGTTCAGGCTATTCCAAAGAAATATTTAGATGTGGATAGCGCAATTTTTTTATACTGGCCAGAGTATTATATGAAATTATTATTTTTAATAATTCTGGATATGTACCGATTTGTATTATTGTTCGTTTGTAAAAAAAATAGGTGCTAACAAATTAAATAGTCATGATTAACCCTGTATAAATATACATCTGTTTAGTAAGCGAAATCATATAGAAACCTAGAAAAAAAATTCTTTAAAATTTTACATAACTTTTGAGTGCCACCGGGTTATTCTGATTAGGTTAGCTGTGTTGCCAAACCATACATTAATTTTAGGAGTTTCAAGAAATTATACTAGACTATTATTATCTGTAAATCTATCTACTTCATTTATTTAGGATTCACCACAGATCAGTAGTATTGTATTATTTAATTTGTTGGCCACCTATTAGTGTTATTTCTAAGTATTTAAACATATTCTGCTGTCCCTAGTTTAGTTTTTAAGTCTTTTTTAATCAAAATTTTGTTTCAATCCCCGAACAATATACAGGGTGTTTCAAAAGATTAAAGAGCAATTTGTTTATCAGAGTTTGAGAAAAAAGATTTTTTTTTAGTCAGGTATAACTGAAATGTATCAGAATACTTTTTAAGTTTAAATTATTTAATACAGATTAAATATTATTCTACGATAAATTATACAATACTCTGTATAAAAATCATAAAAATAATAATATAATAAGTAAATTTGAACAGTTTGTAATAATAATAAATAATGTTATTATGCCTGTTGATATTTTTGAATCACACAAGAAATTTTTCATTTATTTTTTTTACTTAACATTGAAATACCCTGTATATTTCCCTAATAATTTATTACTCGCATTTATTCACATAATTTTACAGGGTCTACCATATAAACAGCTATTTTAGTTGGCGTTTTCCCTTCATTATGCTCATATATTTTTTTGTTATCATTTTATCACTAGCATAGATTAACAAAAGTATTTTTTTTTCTATTTTGCTTTGGCAGCGTTTTTTTTAACACAAGTATCTGTGCCATTCTATGACGAATATTTCGTCGACTATATAGAAAACATGTTTTTTATACTTTATTTTATACTTAAGATTAGTTTTAGGTACATTTTATAAGAAAAATAACCATAAAAATACATTTTTTTATTATAGTTTTATACTCATATCCGAACGCACAAAGTATATTGTCTAGATTCCTTATTTTATATTTAAAAAAGTCGTAGTTTTTCCCGTTTGTATAATGTTTATGAATATTATATTGTAGTAAATTTTTTGATACTCCTGTTATTTTTCTATGAAAATGTTGTATACTATTTTTGTATGTGTATTTAAGAGCTTTATATATGTTATGTATAAGCGCCGTTTTGTCCATATCTTTTACCTAAGAAGTATATATCAAAAGTATCCGAAATTTGCACAGGGCGTTTCATAAATAGTGGCAAATATTTTTAGGGTTCATAAAAATATTATTTTTGATTTGAAACGTTCTGTATGACTGTTTTAGAAGTGTCAGACCATTTTATAGATATCTAAAAGTAAAAAGAAAAAACATAAAAATGGAAAACAAATCAAAATAATGAAAAATAGCTAGAAATTCTTCATATAAATTAAATAAAATACATTTAAAAGACATGTTTGAAAAAGTGACATATAATGCTGTTTTAATATAAATATTATTATCAATTTATTTCTGTAATCTGTACATTTTTTGTTTTCTCAGTAGTCTGCAAATTTTGTGTTAACGCCCCTTAAAATTTATTTAAGAAAGAAGAAATTTTGAACCTAACCAACAATTCGTGTGGTCTGTTTTTGTTTACACGTTTTGTTTATAATTTATAGTGATTTACAGTAATTTTGTTAAATTATACGAATATTTTCGTTGATTATTGGTTCGAAATAAGTATGACAATGTCCACCGATGAAAATGGGAGTTTTGTAACTCTAATAATCCAGAGTTTAACCATAGTTTTTTTTATTGCAAATAATTAATCCTCATACAATTTTATGACCCACGTATTTTTTTTATTTTACTTCAATTTCATCCCATTTTTTTTAAAATTAATCAATATTAAGAATTTCAAATTTACACTTGCATTCTTTGACATCAGCTATCAAAAGTGTCACAGTTTGCTACCAGGTACAAAGGTAAATAATAACCATTTTTCTAAATGTATTTTAAAGTAGATATAAAATTAATTGTAAAATAAAACTTAAGGAACTATCGAATGAATACTATCGAAACATTCGATAGTTGCAATTCATTCGAATAATTCAATAGCTAGTAAGAAAACATTCGTCGAAAACTATTTGAATAAAAATTATCGAATAGATGCGTCATCTGCCTTGAAATATTGTATTCTAGTAATTCGGCAGCAAAAACCATTCATTTATAAAATTCATTTATTCGTCAGGATCGATTTTAATAAAATATAAACTGGATTTTAGTTGTCGTCCGGCGACGTAGGTTTCTTTCCTAGAAACCCGACAGCCGTCGGTGGCAATGCTAAATAAGAAGCCGGCATCTTTGATTTTTTGCGGAGTCAAATAAAGATAAGGACACATTATTTTTTTTATTGAGGTGCTAGTATTTACACAGAAAATACATTATGAAGGGCGCTGTTGCCATATATTCGTATTAGTTGGTATTAGCAAAGAATTTTATTCTTTAGCATTAGTTAGTTAGGGATAGTATGTCTAATGTTTTGCATTTTTTTATTAATACTCTGTTGTTACACTGCAATAATACTTTTTATTTTGGATGTAGGAAAATTATTTTTAATGTTTTTAAGCAAAGACTGGTTTAATAAATAATAATAACAGTAATAATTTGTTATACCTATTAACAACAAAATTTTAAATCATTTAATTATAAAATTTTTTTTTAAGTAGTAGCAAAATATAAACAACAAATAGAAGTCAAAAGTATTTATATTAGATCGTATTTAAAAATAATATAGTCTCTAAATGGCAACGTTGGTTTATTAAATAATAATAATTACAGAACTAATTTGTTATATTAACAACAAATTTTAAAATCATGAAATATAAACATTTATTAATTTTCTAAGCATGCAGTGTAATGGAAGGAAAATATAAATAAAAAATTACAAATCAAAATTATTTATATTACTTTATATTACTATTTAAAAATAATATTTACTTTTACTGGCATTTACTTTAAAAAATAAATGAAATATTTCTTCGCAAAACACTACATGTAAGAGAATTAGCATAAACAAAATACAAACATTGTTAATTTTTTTTTAAATTGGCACGTGTAAAACTTTCAATTTAATTTTCTCACCCCAAAATTTGAGTTCGATAACCCCATTTACTTAACCACATTACTTAAATATGATTATTAAGTTCAACTAATTCATATTATTAAAACATCTAAAATACAAATATGTATTTTTAAAATTAATTGTAAGTTCATCTCATCTCTCTTAAAAATTGCTCCTACTCAAAATTTCCCATTTAAAAAATTCAATCTTATCTAACCATAATATACCATATAAAATTAAATAATTGAAAGATCGGGCTACGGAAAATCACACAAATTTTCGGAAAAATTTTGACAACTTCGCACACAATCGTCAATTAAAAAAAACTACTATTTTAGTATTTTAAATATTTTAATAAACGCAAAAATATCATAGTATTTACAAGGCGAAGTTATAAAAATTTGGAAGAACTAATAATGCACTGACGCACACAAAAATCAAACGAATACTAAATTTCATTTATCAAAAACATTCGATAGATCGTGGCTCGTGGCGCAACGATAACCATTTAGTCGCACGGCGAGGTTGTCACATATGCTTTAGTATACAACTGAATGAATGATTTTATTCAAATAAAACCATTCGATAGTTGAAATCATTCATTCAGTAACCATTCGATAGTCTAATTCATTCGATAGTTCCCATCGCTAGTGTTTAGTGCTTCGATAAAAATGGCAGTAACCTGTTAATTACAAAAATTTAAGTTTTAATTTCTAGTTGTAAAAAATATAAAAGTAAATTTAATATTGGGGTAATAAAGAATAATCCCACATATAAACGTATTTTTAACGATCTTAATAAAAACAGAAAAATCTAACGTGATTTTAAGATATATGATGTAAATACGGTAGCAGAGAACTAGTCACGGCATAATATTATTCTTAAGAGGCTCGCGCCCTCTGTCAACTATTCAGTCAAATGCTGATAGGTGACGTCACAATTTTCTACGCGTCATTTCAAACCAGTGAAATTTGTATTGAATTTGATTTATTATTTATTCCTTAATTGTAACTTCGTTGCATTTCTTTTTGTATCGAGGGAGAACTTTTTAATCACTTCAATTGAATTTTATATTAAAAATAACTAAAATTTACTATGGTTAAACGCCGGATTCTAATTCTGAGTTAGCAAATGAGCTGTATGCTTTACCTAGACCTAGTTATTCAGAAACTATAAATTTATCGAAGAAAATATGCATAAAAATTTAGTTCCTAGCACACAACCAGAGGATATTGATACACAGGTATAGTTTGAAGTTTATTATAATGCTTTTCTTAGATTTAAATCAAATGTTTTTTGGTGTTTGCGCGATCGTGCGATCCTTAACACTTTTCATCTCGCTAACTCGTGTGTCACAATAAATGGCCTTGAAACTTTACTCCCAGAGCGCGTAAAGATCACTTCATAAAATAAATCTATAAACACAATATTATAAAATAGAGCTAAGTTCAAGTCACAGATTTACAAACCAAAACAAACAGTCAGTAATATTTTACTTTTATATATCTGTAAATTGGTTACTCATATCATTTTTCATTGTATACAATATACAGAATTCAGCCAAACTTACTAAAATTATTACAGAATAAAAGTACAACAACCTATTTGTATATTAAAATCTGTTTTTGGTGCTTTTAAAAATATATTTTCTCCTAAGAATTTATACAGTACATGCGAGAAAATTGAATACAGCGATTTTTCTATATACTACAGGGTCAAGAACAGTTAACCTAATAGGACTGCTCATTCAGCCAAAAGTGTCCGCCAGGTGCATGTGAAAACTACTCGCTTTGTGACGTCATTGTAGTCCTTGTCATGGTTATTAGTCCTTATCCGGCAACTAATAATACACACATGTGCATTATTGGTTGCCGAATGCAAAACGTTCATTATTTAGTTTATTTTTATAAACACCTTATATGTAGGCAGTATAGAAAATTAACTGTATAAATCGTATTAAATACTCGGATAATGCATTTTTAAGAACAGCAGTTCCCAGCATCACCTTTTGCAAGCATTCTTTTTAGAGTACTTCCATATTTTGCTTTAAAATTATTAATAAACAAAATCGTGGGCACTTAGTATGCACTTTGTCACAATCCACAACACAAAATGAACGTATTTATACACTCTATAGCTCTAAAAACTTTAAAGACACCTTTTTCACATTTAAAATTGACAAAATAATTAACTCAAAATTTCTCAGCTGTTATTTTTATAAGTTTACCATAGGCAACTAATAATAGACGCTCTCATGACAAGGCCACGAAGGCTTTGACAAGGACTACAATAACGTCACAACTGTCAGCTGAAGCGCGGGAAGAGGCGAACGTACGTCTTATGAGGATGAGCAATCCTATTAGTTTACCGTTCTTGCTACAGGGTATCTCGTAAACCAGGCGAGATACAGAAACGATTAAAGTAGAGAAAAGTTGCATTTTGCTGAACTCTAGCAAAAAAAATCTGGAAAAATCCGGTTACTTCCGAAGATATTTGAGAAAAAAAAAACAAATTTTCCCGGCGTTTTTTTTTCTGACCCTTTGAAATGATATGACAATACAATTTCCTGCTCTACAAGCTGATGTTACTAGATTTCCAATATGACGTTTCATTTCGGAGAACAATGTCAATGAAAAAAATAAAAACAACATTGAGAAAATTCGGAAATAATCGGATTTTTTTAGATTTCTAAACATAACCTTGCTAAAAAAAACTGTGTTCAAATTTCTTGTAACATCTTCCCCTTATGTATATAGTTGTAAATATAAGAACAAAAAATACTAATCTCTAAGCTTTCGACTGACTGACTTATATTTAGTATAGTAAAGAGCCTCGTCTCTACGCGCATGCGCTCAAATGTCCCTATTCGTAACTGATATTATACGCAAATAACGAATAGCCTTATTTGCTAGTCAATTATTTTTCGATGTCGTATTACTTACTAATTAATCCCAAAATAATATTTTTTCGCTCCCGGTCTTTTTCAGCATTAAGTAAAATAAATTATATGTATGTTCTCTACTTTGGTAGTTTTTTCTCCAAAACCCCTTTTACTATATCCCATGACTAAAGAATACAAAGACGCGTATCTTAATAAAAGAAAGGGGGTTACAATAGATGTTTAATGTCGCGTCGCAGTGATTAACCCCCCTCCACTCATTCTACAATCTACAGAATAAAATAAGTCTACATACTCAAATAAAACAATTTATTTTTGTATTAAAAAAACAAGAATTATATTTATAAAAACCTTAACATTTGTTTTATGTACAGTAAAATATTTTAAAACATACACATAAAAAGGAACTCTCAAAAATAACACGAAAAATACTTTTTACAATAAACTTTTGTATATGATTGATTAATTTGAAAGGGTTTAGAATTTTTATATATATTTTTAGAATAAAAAATAAATAAATAAAGCTAATAAAATATAGCATCAAAACCAATAAAAGTTACATAATATATGATGGCTAAATAAATATCACAAAAATAAATATTTATTTAACAAACAATACAGTTTTATCATTGTCTGTAGATATACAAGGTGATTCAACTTAACGCCTGATTCACCCTGTACAAAGACAATGTTATTAACAAACCTTATAAAAAAATATCAGAGTAAAGAAACCCCTCCAAACCAAATAATCTCCTTATAAATGGTAAAAAAAATAAATTTTTGGCGTTATATTATGTACAGGGAGCGGCAAAAATATGTACCTGTCTACATAGCGTTATTATCAGTTTTTTATAACTTTAAATACTGATAGATTTAAGAATAATTATTTATGTTAATACCAAATCGGATCAGTCTTCAGTTTGGCCACTTATACACGTTCAATACATAAAAAGTTCATCTATAGCTCTCACACAACAACCACTATCTAAAAATACCTTGTATAAATCAAATTTTTAAATAAAATTTGAACACTATTTGGTAAAAATCTACAGAGTGTAAAGGGATTAGTGCGAAAAAAATCATCATGTCAAAAATTAAGGGGTGTTTTTCTTTGGGTCAAGCTATATACAGGGCAGGTCTGAAATAAGTGCATTTAAAAAAGAGGATTTTTTTTAGTTTTTACTTAAAAGTTCTCACTTAAAAAACATCATTTATTGATAAAATGACAGTATAGGAGTAGATTAAATTTACAAGAAGTAAACCCAGGAAAGATCCAGTGATACTGAAAATGTAAGTGAAAAAATTTTTGTTTAAATTTCCAGAGTCAAATATTTCGGTTATTTTGGACTTATTTGTAAAACGGTAAAGAGAAAATATGTTCCTTTTACCGAGATCTGCCAGTCCTAAAAATATTTGCACTTATTTAAGACTCACCCTGTATAATATAAAAAATTTTCATCCAAAATTTTTATTACTAGGAATCACCTCCCCATTTTTCGCGCGAATTCATGTACACCCTGTATATTAAAAGTCCGGAGGTGTCTAAAACGAGTCAAAGTTATTTTTTATTATATACACAGTGTGCCAAAATGTTCGCAACCGATGAGGATGATTTTTATTATCGAGTTATTGAACACAAATTTATGAGAAATTACTTCAGCATGTTCAATAAGTAGAAAAATCATTTTGACATGTGTCATACAACAACTGTCACGTCCAAAAATTACAAAAAGCTCTATATGTGACAAAAAAGTGGGATTAGGTGGTAAAATATTCAAAATTACAATGAGAAAATAGCAAAGCCATCATAAAACGAGAAAAAGAAAACAATGTTGTTCAGAAGTTGATTTTACGTATGTGTGCGTTTCATAAATATACAGAGACTAATTTTAACAAAAAAAAACAATTTTTTTAAAAAATTTTCAAAAATATCAATTTTTATATATTTGTTTAGTCCCTGTATACTATTAACAAAACTTGGCACACAGAGGTAAAACTAAACTCTGATCACCTCATCTATTTGACTTTTTTCAATATTTCATCCCCTAACCTTACTCTTTGCATAGTACGTAAGAGAATTTTTGTAGTTTGCGGCCATGATGACAGTTTTATCACGTGACAAACGTCAAAAATATTATTTTTTCTTATTAGGCATACTGAAATAATTATGCATAAACTTATTTCGATTATACAACTCTATGTATATTTTCCTATATAGAAGGATGTGATTAATAAGTGATAATCATTTAAGTGATTATCGCCTCGTGGCCATATTGTAATTGTCATTTTTTGAAATATTAATTCAAAAGTAATTTCTGTCAGTTCCACAAAATATCTTTATTTTATTGTATAATCTTTTGAATACAACTCGATGTTTCGGGATTACCTAATACTTTTGCCTGACACTCAATGCGACACCGGCAACACTACTCCTCCTTCGGAGTCGTAGTATTATCGGTAATCCCGAAACATCTTGTGGTATTACATTTGATAACTCAATTAAAACTCGATTAGTCGCGAACTTTTTAGTACACCCTGTATAATATTTTATCATTCTAGACACCTCCATTTTAAAAATAACCCTTTAAAAACCCTAAAATCATCTTTAAAACGTTATAACTGTTCGCGTCGTTGGCGGTATCACCGTACTCGCCCTCCTATAGTCCCTCTTGCTAGCCAGCCAACTGGCCAGTCCAATAATGATATACATAAACCCTAAAACGACGTGGAACATCCCGTACACGAAGTATTGCTGCCTGGGTGCAAGAGCAAACCCTACGTCACCCGTCACAACTACCAAAGTCAGTACAGTCTGTATCAGTAACGCTGCAAAGGTGTTGATACCGAAAATCAGTCCATAACTATCTTCCTCTATATTTTTAGCTATCTCGCTACTAGCTATAGTGATGGTGAGGTGATACAACCCCCCAAACACTATGTAGCAAATGTAACTGACGTAAACGTACTGTGTTTGCGAGGAGATCAGCATGATAAAGCCTTGAAGCAAAGAACAACACGTTAGAGCCAACTCTCCTCTGGTTTGCCAGTCGACTTTTAGTACTCCAGCAAAAAGAGCTCCCAGGAAACCAAGAATTGTCAATACAGCTTCGACAGCTCCGTTGTAGATGTTCTGGTTTGGGTCGTTGACAATGGCTGTCCAAAGCGGTTGCATGTAGACCTGGACTTGGATGAAGCCACAGGTAGCTAAGGCCCACCACACTGACCATTTGATGGTGTATTTGTTGGCGTAGCCTTTGGTGAAGTGAGTCCACATCAGTTTGTAGGCGCTGATGTTTTTTTCGATGAAGGATGATTGTTGGGAGGTGTCTTGGTGGAAGTAGATTGTTTTCTTTACAGATGGAAGGAATAGACTCCATACCGTGGCGGTGATCATGGCTGTTTGAAGAGAAAAAGAAAGAATATGTTAATTATTTTCTAGTTCAGACGAAATATATTTAACTTAAAGAAGACAAAACTATAGATCATACCAAATAAACTTTTAGTCACGTGATTAAGCTTGACCGGCACAGCGTTGCCAACCTTTACATACTTTCTTTTAATCAAAATATTTTAGAAAACAAAAATAAATCTAGACTTAATATATAAGATCCTTAAGTGACACACTCACTGATTAATCACGATCCTGCTTAAACCACTCAACATAAGAAGCATTTTGGCATACAAGTTGATTCTAGGGTGTAGAGATTCGATAAGAAGGGATTTTTCGAAATTTCAGTTCCAAGGGGGTGAAACCGCCCCTCAAATATTACAATATTTTTTTATTTAAAAACCGGTCAAGTTTCCGAAAAGACGCTTAAACACGTATATTTTATTTTGTTTTTTACATATTTTAAGATTTTTTAAAAGTGTATACAGGGTGTTTCGAAAAATCTGGTCATTGATTAATCACGATCCTGCTTAAAGGGCTTGACGTAAAAAGCTGATTTTTGGTAAACGGATTGACTTTAGGGTGTAGAGGTTCGATAAGAAGGGATTTTTCGAAACTCGAATTCTAAGGGGGTGAAACCACCCCTCAAATATTACAATATTTTTTATTTTTAAAAACCGGTGAGTTTTTAGGGAAAACTCTTAAAAGCGTATATTTTATTTTGTTGTTTTACATGTTTTAAGATTTTTTAAAATTTATACAGGGGGTTTCAAAAAATATGACCACTGAGTAATCACGATTCTGCTTAAACTGCTTGACGTTTAAAGCTGATTTTTGGTAAACGGATTGACTGTGGAGTGTAGAGGTTCGATAAGGAGGGGTTTCTCGAATCTCAAATTCCAAGAGAGTGAAAACGCCTCTCAAAGATTACAGTATTTAATGTTATTTAAAAAACGGTTAGTCTTTCGGGAAAATGTTGGACACGCATAATTTATTTTGTTTTTTTACATATTTTGAAATATTTTAAAAAATCATACAGGGTGTTCCAAAAAGTTGGGTAATGGGCTTTTTCACAAAAAATAAAATACCCAATTCAAGAACAAAATCTGAAATAGAAGACTATTTTCAGTATATTTATCCAAAAAAATAGTTCCATGACATTGAATAATTTTTTATAGGCCCTTAAAATTGCTTTAATTTGAAATAATTTTAAAGTGCCAATTGATGACGTATGAAAAATACGCCCAATAACATTGCAGAACCGTGCTCGTGCGCCAGCCAACAACTGGCAACATTGCGATTTGATTTGATCAGCACGACCTCAACTCAAGGCCAATCAACATGATATACGCAAGGCAAATATGGCGGTGAAGGCAGTGCATTTTTAAATTGTTTACCTATAACCTGAAAAGCCGGTAGTGGTTTCTCGTTCCGATTGCATACCAGAAATAAATAATTATCTCTAGTTTGTTGTGCTTCTGCAACACGTTTGTTTAGTTCTTAGTGTTCAGTGCATGGTGTGATCCGAAAATTGTGATAAAATAAGAGTATAATAAAAATCCAAACCAGACACATAGGGAACTTCAAACTTTTGTGCTTGTCGTACTCCTGTTAATCCAACTTGTTCAGAATATCCAATATTTAATTGAAGAACTATGCAAAAAAAAGGAATGACGTCTTTACCACAAAGACAATGCTCTATGTAAAGAGAAAGAGTAAAGAAAACTAAGCTAAGCGTAAGTTTTACTTACGAACCCCCAAAAAGGTATTTAGTTTTTTTTCTATATAAAATCTTGAAACACATTATATTTTTTATTTATCCTCACCTATATTATAGTTTAAATTTATTCCCATTTGTGTAATGCTGCAAAACATAGAAAAAATATTCCATATTTTTTTATCCAAACCAGTGTAGTTTATAATTCCAAGAGCATTTACCAAGGCTTTTACTAAGACAAGTAACTTCCTATACTGTCCATAATAGTATATATTTATCAAACGTTCAGTAAATTCTAAACTATGATAGGTAAGTGTTTGCAATTGAATATTTAGTTTATATTGCTATTTTCTGTCATATATTTCTGGTTATTTCTTTTTCCGATGATTTTGAACACCCCTCCTATGCTACCTCAAGTTTGAATATTTTAATACTACCATTTTCTGAGAAAGCAGACCTTTTTATAAAAAGTAACTAACTGATGTTTTCATAAAAGTAATAATACAAAAAATTCCATACTTATATGAGAACTTTAGACTCCCTGTATATTAAAAAATGAGTAAAATATTACGTAATCTAACCCGACATTTGTGTGAAAAATGTCTATTTGGAAATAAAACAGGGTTTAAAATACGTGCCAAATAAAGCACTTCTATCTACGCCATATTGGCGCCGTATAGTGGCATCACTGAATTTAAAAATCGCGCCATCGATGACGTACCTAAAAGTTTAATTGGTATCGCTTATATTTAAATTTTATCCCGATCAAACATCGTTTTCAACACATATCGATGATGACAAATTTCTGCGGATTGCGTTAGATGTACGGTTTTTTTTTGAAAACGAGTAACACGTACCACAGACGTTATTATTATTATTAATGGTTTTTGGTTTCAGTTTTAACCATCTGCCGATGATGCTAACATGGCTATCTTATATACATGTCTGTTTTCTATCATATTACATGAATGTTCTCGTATTTCTCTGGCTGTGAGATCTTCTTAAAGCTACTCACCTCCAAAAGTGATAAAATTCAAGCCTCGGTAATCCAACACTTTGAAAGAGACCAATAATTGACCCATTACACCGGAAGTGGCTCTGCCAGCCAAGATAGCCGCCCTAGTGTGCGACGTCACCTGTTGGTAGTAGTCCTTGTCGACTTTGGCGTAAATGTAGGTGAAGTAGGCAACCTCGCAAGCAGAGAACGTACCATAGAAGACCTAGAAAAAAAATGAATTCTATTAAAAAATTTTAGGGCCTGTCTTGACTTCTAGTATTATTTTTACAAGTTCCGAGTCAACTCTACAATTTACCACAAAGTCTGACAACACAGAAATATACAGGGTGGTTTGAAAAATTGAAAACATTAAAAAATCTTTAAATGCGCGATTGTATTAAAATCCCTGTATGTTATAATTTTGGTTCGTCCTATACATATAAGCAAATAAGTTTGTAGGGAAATGTTAACTCTAAAAAAACTCACACAAACTTTTTTTTGGAATTATGAATTTATACCCTGTATATTTTTTCAATTGTTTGCAATAATTGATCCTATTAGAATGTTGCTATTTTTAGAAACTATCATCACACTTACATGCACGTTTAATTAAACATTAGATAGCCTGATCGTCCGATATACATAAAAAACAACAATGGAAATATTGATAACATATTAAAACAAGTATCGTTAATACATGATAAGTTTTTCTTCTGATAATACAAGTCCATATTTATAAAAATAGAATGCAATAAAGTTCCGTCTACACATATCGTTTTACCTATCAGGTTTAACGGAACCCAGGGTTTCTTTTTAATTACCGAGGACAAAGTTTCTGACAATAATTGCCAGAGGTTCTTAACACTTCATAATTCCTGTGGTACACATATAGACTCAGAGCTAGCAACGTTTTCGAGAAAGTATTCTAAGGAAGCTGGCTCTTTGATATATATTTTATTATGCTCTCTGGAATAGCATGCGGGCCGTCTGGCTGCCGATACATGTTGCGTTCACTACTGCGCATCGGAAGAAGATCTTATATGTTTTTTTATTTGGTCGATTAAATTCTAGTATTGAATATAAATCGAGCAAGTTTTTTTAATTAATCATAAATTTTGAATAAAAAAATGACGATAAAGTTCTGTTGAACTTTTGGCACAAAAACATTACAAATTTATGATTTTAGTTTAATAACTATTTAGTCAACATGTTGAACTTATGTCAATGATGACAGGTATTGATAATTTCGATTCCAAATATATCGATAACTACGACCCGTAGCGATTTCCAAGAGACCTTTTTTACTTAAAAAACGTCGTAAATGTATATTTTTTACTTAGTAGTTTTATACAGGTACGGACGAAAAGTTATTATTGTTCAAACCAGTTAAAAATATGTAGGTGGCTCCCTCTATAAGTAGGAGTCATATTGACATCAAAATCAAATTTCTCATGCCAAAAGACCACCAGACACCAATTTGCATCCAAATATTGATGTTACTTAATAAATTATTTGGAAAAAATCGAAATAATAATGAAACTTCTACACCCTGTATCTCCGAAACTAAGCATTTTAGGACATACATTTATACGAATTTTTTTACTTATTTTTAGCTGTAAAATTAGTGTTGTAAATGGAAATATTGGAAATTTCCAAACGTGTCTCGGAAATATTGGGAATATTGGAAATATTTTTAAAAATACTTAAATCTTGTCATTAACGATTCAAACCCGATGTTTATTAATATATCTTTCATATTTTGTAACCCTATAAACATTAAACTTACTATAGAACAGTTCTACAAACATATAATATGGTGAATATATCGAGTTTGAGGATTCACCAACTTATTTGCAACCTCGCATTTCTACGTGGAAGTCCCGAGCTCTAAGTCGTAGCGTGGTAAAAACTCGCTGGTCTTCAATTTTGACCAATTTAAAAAGTGTATACAATACTAGGCTCAATTTACAAGGAGTTGCAGTTAGTCAAGAAGCAACACAAATGATTGATAAAAATGTTAAGCAGTGGATATTAGACGACGAAATATTTTGGGCCCAAATTTTCAACGTAATTAACATTTTTGAACCTATTGGAAAATGGTTAAAAATTGTAGAAGGAGATTATAGCACTATTCATTTTGCTGTAAAAGCATGTTGTGATATTAGAAGGGTAATTCACAATAATCTTGCATTGTCCTCACTTGACGACAAAGAAAAATCCGAATTGTTGGAGTTTGTTGACAAAAGAGAAAAATTTGCTATTAAACCCATTCATTATGCTGTAGAATTACTAAATCCAAAATCACAAGGTTCTGAACTTGATGAAACCCAAATTCTTTCTGCCATAGAATGCATACTTAATATATCAAAAAATAAACTCAATATAAAGGAGCAAGAACTAATAGATGAAATAGCAGATTACCGTTGTAGAAGTGGCAAGTTATTTGGAAATAACTTCATATGGAAAAGTAGTTTTGATAACCCAGTCTCCTGGTGGAAAGGACTGTGTTCTTCATCTTCATTATCACAAGTAGCTTCACGAATGTTGATGATGCCAGCATCTTTGGCTGCCACGGAACGCAGTTTTAGCGTTTATAGCCATATTCATTCAAAAAAAAGAAACAGACTTATTAATGATAGAGCCGCTAAGCTACTCTATGTATCCCACAATGAAAACTTGCTGAAGAAAATAGGAAAACAGCAATAGATCAATTTTTATTTCCGATACTATTGAAGGTTTTGAGGAAGTAGACTGGCAAGAAGATGTTATTGAGTGTGATGCTGATGACAGCGATAAAGATATGCCTCTTGCTCGATTAGTGTGTCAAAAATATTTTTTTTGTATAAATTTAACCTTAATTTATTTTTTAATTTGAAGAATAACTCTTTGTGTTTATGTATAAGCATTTTGTGTTTTGCGATGTTTTGTTATGATTTTTATAAATAAATATTTCAGTTTTTCTTATTTTTTAAAATATTTCATATATTTCCAATATTTCCATATATTTCCAATGTTTCAGGAAATATTTTCGAAAATGTATTTCTGGAAATTTTACATCACTATGTAGAATATACTGCCAAAGTTTCCGGAATAAAGTTCGGACCACCCTCTATAGCAGCAAAAATTCAAATATTAGGGGGTTCTTTAGGATATGCATGGACCCCTGACCTATATTTCTACCACCAAAATACAAAGTATTAATGAATAATTAAGTTGACTTCTTGGTTGCACTGTTTGACCAGGACTACGTAAGCATTCGGTGGTTAATAATTCAAAAAGTTTATATAGAACGCAGAAGCATCAGGCCTAAATAACTGCCCACACGTAAATGTCACGAAATGCATGATATATCACATTTTTCTACCGTCTGCATGTCTATATCGTAAAAAAATGGTATCGTAAAAGCCATAGTTCGATTTAATATCGTGATTTTCCCATACGTAAGAAAAAAATAAATTGATATAGTGATTACACTATAGATAAAGCATGTATAAATATAAATATGTTTACAGAGGTAGATATACCGGTTTTGTTACAATATGCATTAGTAAAGTTAAATGAAAATTGCATTTAATTGTTTTAACAAGAAATTGCAATTATCTCTTGCCATTGCAATCTGTTTGCGAAATATTCAATTTTATGTCGAAAATAAACATTTATGAAGGGCAGAAGATATGGATTTTTTGACATTTTGACGCATTTTTTAAATCTATACTAATAAATAAAATCCTTAAGTGACTGACTCACTGATTAATCACGATCCTGCTCAAACCACTCAACGTAAGAAGCTCAATTTTGGCATACAGGTTGATTCTAGGGTGTAGATAAGAGGTTCGATAAAAAGGGATTTTTTGAAACTCGAATTCTAAGGGGGTGAAACCACCCCTCAAATATTAGAATATCTTTTTATTTAAAAACCGGTGAGTTTTTCAGAAAAACTATTAAACACGTATATTTTATTTGTTGTTTTACATATTTTAAGATTTTTTAAAAATTTATACAAGGGTTTCATAAAATATGACCAATGAATAATCACGATTCTGCTTAAACTGCTTGACGTTTAAAGCTGATTTTTGGCAAATGGATTGACTGTGGGGTGTAGAGGTTCGATAAGGAGGGGTTCCTCGAATCTCAAATTCCAGAGGGTGAAAAGGCCCCTCAAATATTACAATATTTATTCATTAAAAAACGGTTAGTCTTTCGGGAAAACGCTTTTACACGCATAATTTATTTTGTTTTTTTACATATTTTGAATTTTTTTAAAAAATCATACAGGGTGTTCCAAAAAGTTGAGTAATTGATTAACCACGATTCTGGTTAAACTGCTTGACGTAAAAAGCTTATTTTTGGCAAACGGATTTTTCGAAAGTCAAATTCCAACGAGATGAAACTACCCCTCAAATATTACCAAGTTATATAATAATAATATCGGGTGCCCGGTGGCGTAGAGGTACAGGCTCTCGTCTACCAATCTCAAGGTGTGGGTTCGATTCCCACACCCGGCATTTCATCAGCCGACTATTTTTATTAAAATAAAAATAGTTTTTGTACCTAGGTCGACTCAGCCTTAAATGAGTACTTGGGATTCACAATCCTGAGGTAATAATAGGCGGTTGAAGCGTAGTGCTAGCCACATTACCTTCCTTGTATACCGAACGGCTCTAGTATAGCAAGCTGTACCTTGCTACTCCCAAGGCGTTAAACGCTATATACGGGAGCTATTATTATTATTATATAATAATATCGCCATATGTATTTTCGCATGCTGATAAATGTGAGAAAATTTTATCCAGTTTGTATGTTAATGGAAATTCTTGCTTTGCTTTATCTTCACCATTACAAATGATTAATTCGACGCGAACGAAGTCGCGGGTACACGCTAGTTAATACCTATAATCGAATAAAAACGGCGTCAGCGATGACTATGAAATGGAGATCGCTGTCATTTTATATGTAAAATTATATGGGAAATGTCATCGATCGTCATTTCCAAGCCAACTGGACGCTGTTTTTTTTTATCATACGGTATAATCTAATTTATATTGTCTGCTGTAAGACATTGTTTAATTATTTTAGTAATAATTGAATAAATATTATACAGGATGTTCATAAAAATATGACAAAAATTACAATAAAAAAACAAATTCATACACGTGAACTTTGTATAAAATTGTCCATACTTTGTAAAGTTAATATGAAAATATTTCAAAAACTATTATATTT